TTTGTGAGGAAAACACTTCATACATTATTTTTGTTGCATGATAATTATACTACTAAATACTTTGCTAAGGACCCCCAAGCTGTCTTCTCTGAAGCACTGATAAGAAAGAAGAAAAAGAAACCATTTAGTTTAAAGTTAAGGACTGAGTTTCTCAGGGTCCAATTAATTGTGTAAGGAGTTTAATTGCTTGGCAGGAATTGTGAGTCTATTCTTTGACTCATATCAGTGAAGTAATTTTCACTCTTTGAGGGGCGTCTTGGCCTAGAAACTCTTGGAATTTCTCATTCCCAGTACCCCTTCTTTGTGGTGGGGAGTTAATTAAGTGAAGGCAGCTAGGTGGTGTCATAGTGCAAAGAGGCTCAGAAGACCCATCTTTCTGAGTTCAAATTCAGCCTCAGATACTTATTAGCTGTGTGACCCTGAGAAAGTCATTTAATTCTGTTTGCCTCAGTTTCCTCATCTACAAAGTGATCTGGAGAAGGAAATGGCAAACCATTCCAGTATCTTTGCCAAGAAAATCCCATACCCTGTTTGCCTCAGTTTCCCCATTTATAAAATGAGCTGGAGAAGGAAATGGCAAACCATTCCAGTACCTTTGCCAAGAAAATCCCATACCCTGTTTGCCTCAGTTTCCTCATCTATAAAATGAGCTGGAGAAGGAAATGGCAAACCACTCCAGTATCTTTGCCAAGAAAACCTCAAGTGGGGTTATCAAGAGTCGGACACAACTGAAAACGACTGAATGACAAGAAGATGCTGGTTTATAAGTTCTGTTGCCATGTCCCTCTTTTTAAATTTCCTTTCCATCTTCCTTTATAATTCTAGTTCTAGATGATAGAAAGTGGTCAGTTAACCTTCTGAACTTCTCAATGACTGTTGATTCTGACCTACAAACATTTAGTGGCTGCATGACATTCAGCATCCTCCATCCTACTGTAATCTCTCAGTCTTTCTGAGACATTATTTGAAAATCAACAGCCAGGGCTATCCAATGGCATGTCAGAGAGCCAAAGTCTTACTTTCATGAAGTTTTGTAACACGAACTGTGTGACTGAACTTCACAGCCGTCAGATTTCTAATTTAGTAATTACTGGAATAATTAGAGGAGTTACTTTGCAGATGGTACTTGAATTTCTTGACATATGTGCCCTTGTCATCAGTAGCAGATGATATACGTAATGCTTTTCCCTCACTGAAGCACTTCTGTGCACAGGATCTCAAATGATTTTAGCTTTTCTGCCATAGTTTTTAATTCCATTTGGACCCAGAGGCACAGAGACACTGCATTAAATGAACTACAAAGGAAAAATAGCTTGCTTTGGTTTATATGTGTATGAGGATTGGCCTGCCACTAGGCCCTAGCTGACAGAAGTCACTCCTGGTTTGACCACTGATTGACCTGCTTATATATCAGGAAGCTTCTATGTACCCAGATACTGGTTGGGTCAGCTACACTTAGTCCAGGAATGCAAGGCTCTACTGATCATAATCACTTTAGCAAACTTCAACTAATCCATGCATGCAAGGTTAGCAAACCTACCTAATCATGACACCCTTGGGGTCAGCGAGGGGAGGTCACAGTCCAGATTGCCCATTGATCAACTGCTCTTAAGGTTTTCCTTCCAATTGGTTCCTGTGAATCTGGCCTACAACAGCAATTAGATTTGAAAGCAGAGACCCAAAGATCTGGGCTCTCAATGGGCACCACATCCCTATCACTCCTTGTGATGCTCTTGAGACTTGTAGGTAGGGGAGCTTCATGTCTGTCTGCCTAAACTCCCTGGCTTGTGATCCTTTGAGCCCTTGTGCTCCTCTTCAGTCCCTGAACCCTGATCTCCTGCCATGTATGCAGATATTGGCTTGGGGTGGTCAAAGGTAAATGGCTTCTTGTCTAGGCTAAGTAAGCAGAAGTCTAAATAAAGGGATGCATTCCAAAGATTAAAAGCACATTTACCTGCCAGCAAACTGGACAAGTCTAGGAAAATATAATGAGATTGGTTCTGCTATGGGCCTTTCTTGTGCATTTACTATTTAAATTTGTAAGATGTAAAATATGATGTAGAGATTATTGTGAAATATTGCAAGAGTTCGGTTTTAAATTCTGCAAAAAGAAAAAAGCATATTTAAGCAGGTTATTGTGCATACCGCAGAAGTTATACACAATTTGTGGGCAGTAACTTATAGGCAGGAAATTGCTACCTCCTTCTGAGCCATTCATATTATCCTATATTTGTCGCAGAAGTTCCCAAACTTATTTGGCTTACCTCTCCTTTTCGAAAAAAATTGCTCAGTGCCCACCCCCACCTGGGGTTAGGTTAGGTTAACCCTTATTTTTATTCAATGCCCCCCAATTGCACCCACCCCTGTGGATCGGTCTAGCACCTCCCAGGAAGTGGTATCACCCACTTTGGAAACCTATGGGAAGTTAGACACTTGGGGATACAAAAAACAAAAGTGAAAGTGTCTTGTCCTCAAGGAGCTTACATTCTACTAGATAACAACTGACATTTCTATAATGCTTTAAAATTTGCAAAGCACTTTACATACGTTATCTTATTTGATCCTCACATCAACTCCTTGAAGTAGGTGCTACATATAGTATTTTTCCATTTTATAGATGAGGAAACTGGAGCTGAGAGGGGTTAAGTGACTTGCCCATGGTCATATACCTCAGAAGTGTAAGAGGGTAGATTTGAACCCAGATATTCCTAACACCGGACCCAACTCTTTCTTATGCCATGCTACTTTTATTGATGAATGGTTTGTGTGAAGTATAAATGGTTACTATATATAAATCAAAGTGTGCCCAGCAGTGTAAGAGTGTCCTCCATAATCCGATCTCATCTGATAGAAACCATGCTCTTTCTTGGTAGTTGAACCTAACTTATTTGAGGCAAGAGAACTTCTCTAGGAAGGTTCCATTGGTGGATGCTTTGGCCAATGTTCTGAACTGCAGGAGGCTATAATGGTAGTCTAGTACTTTAGTGTGGGTACCCCTTTTCCCCATGCTGACTGCAAGCCTCCTGTATCTTCTCATCATGAGTAAAAAAATCCAAATATGCAATTTCAATGATACCTTCTTTCCCCTGCATCATCTTATATGTACTAATTCACTTTGGTGGGCTTAAAATAATGTAAATGATTACATTTCTACATTCATTGAATGTACATTCATATACCTGCAGCTTTACTGCCCCTGTTAAGTTGGAAATTCCTAACTTCTACTGAAATTTGAAAGTGGGATGAGAAAAAGAGTTGGAAAACCAACCAAAAAAAGAGGGAAGGGTGGGTTCCATTTGAGCTTTGAAAATCTCCATATATGGTGCTTATACTTCTGTATCAAGTGAAGGCATATTAATAGACTGCTTTCAACGGTAATGATAATGATACTTTATCTTTCAAAATTCTAAACTATTAGTAGTTAAAAATAAAATTCAATTTTCTTAGATAGAAGGAAAAGATTGGGGATTTATCTTGTGACCATTAATAATTTTCATGTTGAAACCAGACTTGCCAAATTTTTAGTTTCTTTTTACTTAGGATGGAGCTTAGAGAAGAAAGAGGATTAAATTCATATAACAGTTCTGTTAAAAAAAAAAACTCAGTCCAGAACATGCCCATTTTTAAAAAAATTCTCAATTGGTTAAATTGCCCATATAAAAGCTGACTTTTGATAACTTATTTGTAGACATGAAAGGGCTGTAGTGATGCTCATATTTGTTTACTCATAGCTACCTAATAAAAACTTTGACTTGAATTGGATTATAAACATAATAGCTTTGAACTATAATTATAAATTTAATAGTTTTGTTGTTCTTTGCATTTTATCTTGTTGTAGGCATAGTATATATTGTGGTCCTGATTCAGTTGAATCATTTCATTATTTTTGAAAATTTTGCTTAAACACTTTGTGTTGTGGTGATTTTTGAAGGGTTGGTTCAAAATTCAATTTATTTCAGCATTTGGTTTTAATAGCTATTTTAGCCGAAATAGGAAGGATTTATAGTCTATAACAGCTAAAACTGACAGAACATAATTTTAAAAAACAATATGGTGTTCGGCAGGCAGAAAGATAATGTTTTACTTTCTACTTCATTATACTCAGAAGTTCTCTCCCTCAATCTTGAAAAAAACAACTTGCAAATGAAAAAGTCCTTAGTTTCTTACTGTGTTTTTCTAGATTCTCCTATTTCTTAGTATTTCAAAGTATGAGCCTTCTCCTGTTTCCAGCTACTACTTTGTATTCATTTTGTGCTCATTTTGTATTTGCTTATCTTTGCACATGTTCCCTATTCCCTCCCCGCAACCCATGCCCTACCATATAAGCTTCTAGAGGACAGGCACTGTTTTGCTTTTGTCTTTCAATTTTCAATGAATGGCACAATATTTATTGACATTTCAATGAATACCAAGGAATGATTAATTTCTGTGCTGTTTGTAAAGGACAATCCTGGAAGAGATCACAGTAGTAGATCCAAATAAGCGAAAATTACATTGTAATTTTATTATATATTTCAAAGAAATAGCAAATTGTACATAATAGATTTACAGTTTTATGTGCCATCATCTTTTTAAAAATTCTATTATGTTACGGAAAGCTTGTTTTAGTTTATAAATTAAAAATAAAACAAATATTTTTTAAAAAAAGCCTTACTCTAGACTCTGATTCATAGTTTCTGTTTCCTGAAATTTGTACCTTTTAATCTACCAAATATCAATATCTATTTTACTATCAGTACCAATGACAATTAAAAAAATATTTTGCTGGCAAAGATGTTCTATCAAGAAATTTTGGAGACTACTGCTCTCATATACTCTTGATCACTCTTTGGAGAAAAAAATTGCTTTTCTATTATATGTTCATTGATATATATATTCTCTCTGCTTTCTTGCTAGTTACTCCAGAAGCTATCAGTTTCTTATCTGCTGTTGGCATCTTTATTGTTCTACTGGCAATTCTCTTCCTCTTCATCAACAAGAAACTGTGTTTTGAAAAGATAGGGGGTCTCCCCTGTTTGGAACATCGAGGAAAGAGAAAAAGCTCCAAGGGAAAGTCTGGAGTTCATGAGGGATTGGGTAAGCATTATGACTTAGTTTCACATGGTTTGAAAACTGGAGGGAATGAACTTATGTTTTTAGTATGTGTTCAGTTAAGTAATCATATATAGTCTTTTAATGCTGACATACTATTCAATAGCTTCCATCTTCACTTTATCCCAATCATCACCAAAGATTGTATCTGTTATCGAGAATAGTGACTTTTTAAACAAGTCTTGATATCTTTTGATTTTTATACCATCTTCATTTCCAAATATACAATCATAGATTTCAAATTAGAGGGGACCTCTAAGATCATCGATTCTTACCCCTTGCTTTTATAGAGGGGGTAATTAGAGCTTGGAAAAATTAAATGACTTGCCCAGGGTCACCCCAGCCAATAAATATGTGAGGCAAGTTTCAAACCCAGGTTTTTCAGTCTCTAAAACCACAGCTCTATCCATTATACCCAATGCTACCACCTTCCATTCCCCAACAATCCATGCTTTGTAACAAATGTTCAAAAAGGAAGAGGAAAATAATTAGCAAAACCTAACACACACATCAATCATTCGTGACAATATCTGAAATGTTCCATACCCCTAACCCCTCACTTCTTCCAGGAGGGGAAGGAAGTGTATTTTTTGACTCCATATATCTATCTATCTATCTATCTATCTATCTATCTATCTATCTATCTATCTATCTATATAGATATATCTATATCTATCTATCTATCTATCTATCTATCTATCTATCTATCTATCTATCTATATCTATCTATCTATCTATCTATCTATCTATCTAGATAGATATATCTATATCTATCTATCTATCTATCTATCTATCTATCTATCTATCTATATGTCTATATATATCTATATCTATATATCTATATACATCCTATTTCTGAGATAATGATCTCTTCAGAGACTGAAGAACTGATAAAAAAGTGACTGCCCTCCTTATTTTCACTTTAGAGATGTGATTACTTTAGGGTAACAAAGGCAAAAGAAAAGTCATTGTGTATGTGTACCCCTCCTTGAGGGACAATGATGTTTTTGAATGAAAAAGACATGCCAATTCTCCTTTTCTTGAGCAAATTTCATATCTTGTGTCTTCTAATTCCTTTGGGGACACATATTTGTGAACTCAACATGTCTTACTTAGAAGATGCGTTTACCTTTTCAAAGAGGGCTTGCTATTGTCCCTAGCGATCCTCATCAAGAACCCCTCATTACACATTTTCAATTTCAATAGTGAGTCTTGGGACAGATATTTGGCTATCTACATACCTCTGGAATTACAATGGCATTAAAAGTACTTTACATCATCATTCTATTATCTAATTCTAGAGCTTTGTGATACATGAATAACTGATTGCCTTTTCGATATAGATTGCCAGGCCTTTTAAAGAGGCATCCTTAGAGTTGCTAAACAACTTAGCTTATTATTATTTTTCAAATCAGCCTGATTCTCTCGTTCTTATTGGGAGAAAGAAGGGACATTGGGAAGGGGTGAGGTGTAGCCTCTTTCAGTTTGTACAGAAAATCCCCTTTGCTCTATGTCCTATATAACCTTGACCAGAGCAGAACATTGGGCTGATAGAGAACTGCCACGGTCATCCAATAAAATGACCTTTTAACTTTGTTTCAAAAATAGCATAGAGAAGCTCCAGGGAGCCAAGATGATGTAATAGTATTGGAGGACCTGGGTTCAACTGTTATGTATATGGCCCTTGGGTTATTCATCCTTCATTCTCCAAGAGGACCAATGACATCAGGAGGGTCATGTCTTGACTTGCAAGTGAATTAAATTTAAGTTAGGAAAAGCTGTGCAAAATAATCAGCCTCACTCTCTCCTCCAGAATCATCAGAGTCCCCGGCAAGATATAGGTGAGGATGATTGGAAGTGGCCCTAGATGCAGTGGGAGACCTTGGCCTTTTTAAGCTAAGGTCTTTTCCAGGGCTCAGTTTGTCTGAGGCAACACCCATTCAGTGATCATAGACTAGGTAAGAATTGAGGCAAAAGATGGCCTACTTTGACTTCAGGAAAGAATTAATCTGGAAGGGGAAGATCAGATCCTACAGTGGGGCTGGCTGATAGGCAGAAAACTGTATGCAGCCACTAGCTTCTTACGCCTGTTAGCTGAGTGATCTCTGCTGTACCCTACCATGGAATGGCATGGGCACTCCCCACAACCTCTATGTAAATATACTTGGTTGGTTCTTCTTGGCACATAAACCAGAGGGACCACAGGACTCACTACGTTTTAGACAGCTGTAGAGTTAAAAAAAAGGCTTTTCCAGGGGGGGGTGGGGGTGGGAGTGGTGGTGAGAAAGGTTGTATGCAGGCGAAATTGTCTCTTTGCTGAAAGGAACATACAAGAGATCACCTTACTGTTTTTCTGTGGATCCTTTAAAATAGTCAGCTGTTGTTTTGTCGAGACCTGTTATTTCATTGGTATAGGGAATTCCCTATGAGGAAACTCTCTCTCTCCGTTTTTTAGGCAGTTGAGAGTTAAGCAACTTGCCCAAGGTCACACAAGTAGTAAGGGTCAAATGTTTGGTCTGAGGTCAGATTTGAACTCAGGTCCTCCTGACTTCAGGGCCAGTGCTGAGGAAACTCTTCTGACGATGTAGATTGGTACCTACTCTGAAATTTATGGTTTTAAAGTGTTGCTTGCAGTCCAGAGGAATGAGGGGACTGGCCCAGGGCCACACAGTCAGTATGTGTCAAAAGCAGGATTTGAAGCCAAGGCGTTCTTCCCTCAGGCTCTCTATTTCCTATGTCATGTGGTTTATCAGTCAGCCAATATGGGTGTGTAAAAATCTCCAAGGGAGAGAGAGGACTTGGAGGTTGGGGCACAGAGCAAGAGGAAAGCTTCAAAATGGAAGTGTTTTCAGAATAGACTGAGGAAAGAAAATGTTTTGGAAATTCCCTCAAACATCTTACCATTTTCTTTCTTCTTCTTCTTCTTCTTCTTCTTCTTCTTCTTCTTCTTCTTCTCTTCTTCTTCTTCTTCTTCTTCTTCTTCTTCTTCTTCGCTAGGCAATGGGGTTAAGTTACTTGCCCAGGGTCACATAGCTAGTAAGTGTCAAGTGTCTGAATTTGAACTCAGGTCCTCCTGACTCCAGGGCCAGTGCTGTATCTACGGCCACCGTCTTACCATTTTCATAAGCCTCAGAGTGTTTGACCCACTCATTTCACATAGAAGGAGAATGAAGCCCAGTGAGAGGTTAAATGACTTGCCCAAAGTCACACACCACGCCATAGCCAGAACTCAAACCTAGGTCTCTTGGCTCCAAATTTAGCATTTTCCCCTTGACACCACTGTTATTATTAGCATGCTGAGATACTGACATAAGCAAGAAGGTTTAAATGCATTTTAGATAGAATCATAGAATTTTAGTGCTGAGAAGCCTTCGAGAATATGCAAATCCGTGAAATTACTCACTTTACAGAGGAGAACAATGGGACCCAGAGTAGAGGTGTCTTGTTAAAGTCACAAAGCAGAAACAGGAATAGAACCTAGGTCTCCTGTTCCCCAGGCTATTGTTTTCCCCCCCTTCATTTTCCATTGCTACCATCTCCTGCAGTTGGGTGAGATTTTACTACAAAACATTTGTATTCTGTGACCTAACCACTGTACATTACACACAATGGATGAATTTAGAGCTGTCGAGCCTGCTTTTCAAGGCTTTGTGTCAAAACCTTACCATCATTTCAGCATATTTTTCCCGTGTTTATTTCCTTAACATTATATGCTTCTTTTTGTACAATAGCTCCCCGGTGGTGCGTGGGTGTTCATTCTCAGTCTTTAGAACTGTCACTCTCTATCAATGCAAATATGCATTTAGGACATATTTAAAATGTGAATTATCAAGTGGGTGCTTTTTATTGGGGGGGGAGAGAAAATTTCCCTCTAAATGGAGCCATTGTGGTAGCAATATTCATTTCAAAACACATTTTGTGCAACTGAGTAATAAGCCCTTGAAATAGGTGTTTATGCTAGAAAGACTGATACAACTTTAACTACAGCTGTGGAACATTAGCAAAATACCATTCACAGTAATGAGCTCTGAGAACAACAGCCCAGATGAATACATTGTCTTCATTACTGAAATTTGGAGATTAGAGTTGGTAATGTTTTCTCTTTTTCAAACTTAAATGGACATCAAAAACTAAGGTTAGTGCTATTTAAAATATTTTCCTTTTAGGCTCTTGGTTTTATATGACATTTTGTCTGAGTATTTTAAAGGCAATTATAAATTATATATCCAAATCAAATGAGTTATAGTAGGCATTAAACAAAATAAGAAATTGGATCAGAACCCCCTGACTGGTTGACATCTATGAGAATGTGTGGGTTAAAGGGTTGGACTAGGTAAGACCTGCACAACTTGGCAGTAGGTAGGGGCCAAAATTAAAATAGGCTAAACTTCTTTGGGCCACGGATAGCTTAGACTGACGATGTTGGTTGCTGCAGGTCATGTGACAAACAGGAGAACTTGCGTAGTGGCAACCCCACATTTTCCGCAGGCTGTTGGAAATCCTTTTGTGGGCTGCAAGCGGCCTGAGGGCTGGATGTTGTGCAGGCCTGGACTAGATAAACTGAGGCTTTCCCAACCAGAGCCATGGCTGGGATGGAATGGCCGGGGCTAAGTTCAGGCACTTGTTCATGTATGCATATGTGTATATATGTACATTTCTTCATTATTTCAATCTCCAAAAGCCTGTATCCCTGAAGAGTTTTTGGGGGGTGGGGAGAGGAGAAGGTGGTTCCAGGACAGGGTGAGGGAGCCAGACTGCTTGTGTTAGAAGTCAAGAGAAGTCAAGGGATAAGCCATCTACTCTTCTCCCATAGCAGAGGCTGGACTCTTTGGGGGGAGTCCATCGTTAAGTGCTAGGATTTCCCCACGTCCATCCTAGGCACTAGAATTCCTAGTCATAGTTCTATTTCCAATGCTAAGTTTTCATGACTGTGATTCTAACTTAATATTCCAAATATTGAGTAGGGGCACTGATTTCCACAATTC